CACAGCTCCTCACACAGCTCCTCCTCACACTGCCCTGGCACAGCTCTTTGTTGGGGGGGCTCAGCTCACACTGCTGAAGAGAGCAACTCTGAACTCTGCCACCAGCAAAGTTCTGAAGGTGTCAGATGAAATGATTCATGAACAGCCTTTACTCTCTGGTGAGAAACTGGTGTGGCATTCAGTGACAGAGAAACCAAGGAGCAGGAAGGATAAGAGCATTCACACATCCAACTGAGCAGGCAAAGGAGTTTCTTTCTTAATCTTTTTACACACTGGCTAAAAATGCAGGTGTTAGAATGGTAGGTGCTGCTGCCTATTTTTGTTCCCAACAAGCCTCTCCTGATGAAGGGGCAGCTGAGTGACCACTCAGGCAACGCAGTAAAACCTCCACTCAACACTCATCACAGCTGGCACAGTGATAGTGGCAGGAAAGGCTCTTTTGCAAGGTTTTTATTCCAGCAGGATAACACAGTAGCTGAAGGGCAAACCCCAGGGAAAGAGGATGACCCTCGTGGAGCAGGCAGCCTATAAAGGGGAAGGGGTGTGGGGCTGAGCCAAGGGCTGGGCAGAGGGGCCTGGCCTCCAGGGGAAGGGGGGTGACCACCAGGGTGCCCAGCCAGTGACAGGGAAGGAGAAACCAGAGGAATTTGCGACACCAAGTGCATGGGGGAGTCTGTTTTTCCCTTTGGGAGGGCTAACTCTATGGTAAGTAGTTAATGTTTCCAGGGCTGAGGGCTTGGGGACTGACCAAAGGGAGAGAGTTCATGGGATGCTACAACTGGCTTCAGCCAAACCACAAACAGCCTCACATTCTGTATCTGCACAGTGTGCACAATCCCACCAGAGCAACGTTTCAGAGGGCAGCTAAAAGCACTGAGCAGCTTACTCAGACTCAGGAAGGATGAGAAACTGCATGGAAGACTTGGTTCAAGTCTTCTCCTCACCTCTCACTCAAAATCACCTCACAGAAAAAATGTATCTGGGAGCCCCTGACCTGGAGAAACATTGCACTGGAGCTGAGAGGGAATGGGAGAAGCAAACACTCCACAAAGGCCTTACCACGAGTGGGACCTGCAGCAAAGAAGAGAGCTCATCCTGGTCATCGATGGAAGTCTTGGGGTGCACAATTCCTCCCTGGTTACTGAACACACAGTAACTTCCAACCAGCACCTGGTCTGCTACTGTTTGTCTGAACACCTCCACCTTCAGCACATCTGCCAGGATCTCTTCTGTCTCCTGCAAATGGAAGGAGGACAAAGCCTTCAGCCAAATGGAATTGTGGAGTGGGAAGTGAGAATATTCCTGCACACAGCCCTCAGCTGGGAGCCTCCCACACTGCACAGCCCAGTGCAACCCAGCCACAATAACACACCCAGCCAAGCTCCACAGTCCACATGTTCCCAGCTTCCTGTGTCACTATAAACACAACCTCCTGCCTCTGCTGGAAAGTGCCCAAATTCCCCCTCTCTGCTGGCAGTACATCACTCATATCAATTCTCAGCAAACCAGCTCTCTTTGCTCCCAAACCACTGGGACAAAATGGTCTTATGCTCCTCATAACTCTAACAAGTCTTTTCCTCTTCTGATTTCACTGTGAATTATTTTGATTTCTCTCTCTTTGGCCATCTTACATTACTTTTTACACTTTTTAAATAGGAGTACAAAGCCTTCTCCCATCCCCTTATTTTTCCTTTTGCACTCCTGCCACTAAGCTGGAAGCAAACACTGTCAGGACCTGCAGCCACACAACACATCGCTCTCAATGCCATTCAGGTTCCTGTTCTCAGACATAAAATGGGAGTGACATTGTCTCCTCTGCCTTTATTTTAAACTCTCATACAAGAACCTTCCATTTTTCTTTCAGACCCCTGTAATGATGCACATCTATATGCACATCCATGGTCTCTTTCAGCTATGACATGATCTGACTCACTCAGCTGTAGCTTGTAACTCCTCCTTATGCTCCTGATTAGACCCATGCACACTCTGCCTCACCCAATTTTATGCACCCAAAGCAAACTCCAGCCAGTGATCACTGATTTACAGAATGCTTCGGGTTGCTCATTCCACCCTCTGCCATGGGCAGGGACACCTTCCACCACACCAGGTTGCTCCAAGCCCCATCCAACCTGGCCTTGGGCACTTCCAGGGATGGGGCTTGGAGCTTCTCTGGACAACCTGTTCCAGACCCTCACCACCCTGCCAGGGAAGAATTTCCTCCCACCATCCCATCTAGCCCTGCCCTCCGTCAGTGGGCAGCTGATCCCCCTTGCCCTGCCCCGTGACACAGGACTCCCCACTCCCTCCCTTCTCCAAAGCACATCCACCCCCTCTGCACCACAGGGAATAATTCCGGCCTCAGCCAGGGCAGCGTTTCCCAGCCCCGCTCTGGATGAGGGAGTGTCCCAGAGCGCTGTACCCTGTCCAGGTCGGGGTGCACCAGGGCCACGTAGTCGTTGCAGGTGGTGACGTTGCCCAGGGCCGAGAGCCGCTCCTCCACGCGCTGGATGCGCACGGAGTCGGGGAGGCTGTTCCTGATGTGCTGCAGCTCCTGGTCTGTCGTGCTGCTCGGCACCAGCAGCCCGTGCCTGTTCCCTAGCGGGACAGCAGGAAACAGGACAAAATGAAAATAATGTTCCCACAGCAGCCGCCTGTGCTCTGTGCATTTCTTTCAAGCCCAGAATTCAGCCTAGGAGATGTAAAAATAATCAGCACCTCAGGAAAGGAAAAGCCAGGCTGAAGCTCAGAGTGTGGGTGAAAGGCACTATCGTTACCCCCTTCTCTCTTCCAACAGGACAAAAGGAGCCCCCAGGCTCTCAGTGAGACACTTAACAAGGAACTCTCCGTGCAGATGCCACCTGCCCTACAAAAGGCCCAGGGCTACTGTTTATGTGACTGTGGCAACACGGCTGAATGGTTGAAGAACAAGCAAGAACCTGATCAGAACTAACAGGTCTCACCAGGCACAGACACATGAAAGGCTTTTCCCTGACTCACATTCGGTATCGCCTCCCCCTCCCTGGGCCCCGAGGAGCAGCCGAGCTCCCCCGGCCCCGAGAGCCAACATCCCACCCCGGCTCCGGGCGAGCCTCTGTTTCCCTCCGTCCTTCACAGAACCAACCAGGTTGGAAAAGACCTTTGAGCTCATCCTTCCTTCTGCTCACACACTCGAGGCATCGAAACAACCCTTGAGGGCGAGGGGCGCTGCCCCACGGGCCCCCAGGCACGGCTCAGCCCCGCTGCGGCTCCGAGAGAACCGCGACCCCTCCTCGTCCCCGCCGAGGCTCCCCCGGCTCACGTACCCACACACATCCTGCCGATGATGCGGCAGCCGGCGATGGAGGCGTGAACCACCGGGATGGTCCCGAAGAGCTCCCCCTCGAACACGCTGCAAGGAGAAAGCGCCGCGTCAGGGCCGGGCCGGGCCGCAGGCAGGGCCGGGCCGGGCCGGGCCCGCCTCACCTGTAGAAGTTCTCGGAGCCGCCGATGGCCACGAGGCAATAGGCGTTGGTGAGCTTGGCGAAGCAGCCCAGCTCGTTGTTGTTCTCGAAGCTGGCGCGGACCGCCATGGCAGGAACGGGAATGCGAGCGGGGCCGGGAATGGGAGCGGGAATGGAGCCGGGAACGGGACTAAGAAGGGAGCCGAGAAGGGGAATGGGAACGGAGCTGCCTCCGGCGGGAAGGAAGCCGGAACGGGACCAAGATTGGGGCGAGAACGGGAACTGGGCGGGGCCGGGGCTGGGAAGGAGCTGAAGCGGGAACAGGAACGGGAACGGGAACAGGGACGGGCCGCGGCGGCTCCGAGCGCCTCCGCCGGAACCACGAGGCGCCGCCGATTCCGCTTCCGGCGGGGCGCACGCGGGGCAGAGCGGCGCCGGCCGCCCCTGTTGGGGACAGCGCCCCCCAGCGGCCGGGAGGTGAGAGCGCCCAGGGCGAGCCGCCGTGAGGGGAGCGGGGCGGGACCCGCTGAGGGACCGAGCGGGACCGGCCCCGGGCCAGGAGGGACCGAGCGGGACCGGGACCGGCCCCAGCCCAGGAGGGACCGTGGCGGCAGCACCGCCCCAGGCACCGCTCGCCAGCTCGGGCCCCGCCACGGCCCTGTGGGACACAACCCGGCCCCGTGTGCCGGATCGCGCCTGGGGCTGGGCCGGCCCGTGTGTCCCCACAGCCTGGAGAGGCCGCTACGGGTCCAGGGGCGGCATCGCTGTCCTTGTCCCTGGTGTCCATCACTGTCCCTGTGCCAGGTGTGCCATGGCTATCCCTGGCCACTGTGGGCCACCCGCTCTGTGTACAGCCCGGCGCATGCCCTGGTGTTGCCCAGGTGCTGGCACTGTCCCTGTCCCAACAGGAGCCATCCCTGGGCACCCCCGCCCTGCTGACCCCTGTGGTGTAGGACAGCAGATGTGTCACCTGTGAGCTGACAGGCCACCCGCGACCCGGCTGCCACCCGAGTGCCTCGCTCGTGTGTAGGGGCCACCTGTGTCAGCTGTCACCAGTGTTCAGGTGTGACCCCATCCGTGTGCTGACACCGCTGCCATGCCAATGTCAGCCGTGTGCAGATGCCAAACATGTGCCCAGACACGTCCCTGTCCCCTCCTGACCTGGCACGGCTCAGCACGGCCTCACCCCCTCCACCAGGACCCAACACAGCTTTTTCCAGCAGAACAACTCCTTTATTTTTCACATCCCCCTGCCTTTGGCCATTTCATTTTCACCATATGGATACAGGGAGAGGAATTGCTCAGCATTGAGAGAACCAGGGCTCACCCTGAAGACCTCAGTGGCCAGTTTCCAGGTGAAGCAATGGCTTTGTGTAAGTTTGAGGGGAAATGGTTCTTTCCCAAATGGGTAAAAATAATGTGGATTATATTTATGTGCTTTTCTCCCTCCTGCCACAGTCATGTAATTGAAAATTTGAGCTGCAGTTGCTAATCTCATCTGAATAAGTCATCTACATAGATTGGGCACCTTTTAACAGGAACAAGACTAATGTTTTGATTCCAAGCCCCAGGCATGATGATTGGCGGGGAAAAGCAGCCCCTGGAAAATCAGAGCAGAGGCCAGCTGGAGGCCCGGGTCAGAGTTCGAACCGGCTGTGTATGTGTTTGGATTTTAGTTTGTTGTACTTGGTGATCAGGTCCAGCTTGCTGTGCCCCAGAGTCATTCTCTTCTCCGCCCCGTACGCGCTGTTCTTTTCCAGCAGCACATCCTCGGGGAACTTGTCATAGCAAGGCACTACGGACTTTTTATCCCGTTTGAGGTGGTTGTATGGGGAGAAAAGGTCAAAATGGCCATGTCCCGGGCTCTGTCTCTTTTCTACCCCGTAAACCATGTTCTCATTTTCAGCTGGCAGCTCCCCAGAGGTGGCCACAGGTGCTCTCTGCTTCAGGCTGCTCCCGTTGCTGCTGGTGCCCTCTGACAGGGACTGCAGTGGCTGCCCTGCTCTCGGCGGGGAGCAGTGGCTGCTGCTGGCCTTAGTGTCCCCCTGGTCACCAGGTTTATTGGAGTAAGGCTCCGGCTGCAGGAATGTCCTTGCTATTATGAGGTTTGATTTGGAATACAAGACTGGGATGGGTTTACTTGGAGGACTGTTTGCTGAGTCTGGTGGTTCTTCTTGCTGTTTAGGGCAAGTGGGCTTCAGGAATGTGTCCTCCTTCCCCTTCTTATTGCCAGAATCAGAGGTGGAATCTTGCTTTTCCTGGTGTGCACTGCAGCTGGAGTTTTTCATGAAGGGAGACACTTTTATGCTTCTGATGCTCACATTGGAAAGGCTGCTGGAGGGGCTCAGGGTCTCAGTATCATTTCCCTGAGTGGGTTTTAGAAGACAGTTGTCAACTTTTGAGGTATTCCAAGAAGAGAGACATGTCCCGGGATCTGGCACACAGAAGCTGGTCACTGCTCTGGACTCTGCGTACAAGAACCGGAATTCCTTCTCAAACTCTGCAACAATTTGCCCGCGGAAATGGGTCACCAGGCCAGTGTGGACTTGGCTGCAAAGCCAGGTGAAACTGCAGGAAAAGAAAGAAAACACATGTTAACTTCAGTTCACAGAGTGCCAGAATGCCCAGCATGGATTTTCACATGCCAGTGATGGATTCCTACCCGATTTGTGAGATTGCTGATGAACATGAATGTGCTTATCAATAAGTACAAAAGAACAACCCCAAAGTGGTTGTTTGATTTCTGCCCGGGGTCCCCTGCTCTTCCCTCGCCTTGGCAGGAGCTGTGTTCTCATGTCCTGATATCCTTGATGGGCTTGTAGGAGCTGCCTGGGCAGGCAGGAAATGAGGAACTGCCTTGAGGAGTGGAGGTCTCCAGAGACTACAGGAATAGCTCAGTACAGGAAGGATGATAATGTTTGCTACAAGTATTGCTGTGGGATTCCCAAATGCAATAGAAATTAATTCTTGGCTCAACAAGTCCAATCCCTGCCCTCACAGTTAAGCGTTTTGTGATTTTTTTGTGGGAGTTCATCACATTCTATCCTAAAACCAAACTGGTTTTGCCCTAGCTGGGTAAAAACTTCCATTAATTATAACTCTGCAGATTTTCCTTTTCTGTTTAACCCTACCTCTTGTTTGTGCCCAAACTGTAACCTAATTAGCTCTTCCCCAATATAGGTACAGATTGTAACCACATTCTCTTCATCTTACTTTTTCTGATTAAGCAGGGCAGTTCCTCTCCAGAGTGGGATCCCCAGGCTCCTGGTCATCCCAGTCATCAGCTGATTTTTTATTCTTGCTATAGTCAAACCAGACCAGTACACTGAATGTGTCAAATAAACCAGAATTTTCAGAGGTGGCAGGACCAGCTAAGGGCTACTAAAGCAGGACACTGATTCTAAAGAGCAGGGTAAAATTACAGGAGCTCCAGGAGAGCAATTGTCATGAGACAATACATTCTCAAGTAAATGCCATTTCAGGACAAGATACTGGCACTGTGTTTTGGGACCTCATCAATGTTTAGCTCGCAAGAAAGCTATTTGGGAATTTCTAGTAGGAAAAACAGCTCCTGGCCAGTCCCTGAGCACTCTGCAGTTGTTTTGAGTCAGACTGGTGTTTGGTATGTTGACACTCAGCAATCACACGCCAAAGAGAAACATAATATGGGAAAAATACTCTGCTGCTTCATATCAAACCAGGTAAATTAGGTAAGAATGCAAAAGTAGGAAAGAGAGAAAAGATCTTTGTGGGTGGCATGAAGAGTACTCAGAAATACCATCCTGGAGGCTCAAAGCAAATGCATCCCTTCACTGAGATATTAGAGTGAAAAAATCAAACCAGAAACTCCCTGGGATTGCTAAATGACAGAGGAGGAGCTCCAGAGAGATCATCTTTGAAAAAGGTTGGATCCCTATTGCAAAAGGGGAAAGAAGAAATATTCAGCTTTTTTTTTTGAGGCAACAGGAGTGTTCAGATAATTCCTCTGCATCTCTTTATTGTACAGGAGCTTGGGCTGCCCTGAGCCCCCTTGGCACAGAACACAAGGGAGGATCAGTCTCCTGTTGAGCTCTCTGTAGAAGAGATTAGAAAACATCAACAGAGCAGATATCAGCACCTGGGCAGGAGTGGGGATCATCAACATAAGAGCACCCAGGGAATGCCAGGATGAAATAGCTCCTAACCAGACTGTGCTATCTCCCACTTGAAAGTGCTGTGGCTATCAGGGGAGTGCCAGGGTGGTAATGTGATATAATGGTTTTTATGTTATAGACAATTAAGTCTCACAAATTAGATAGACATAAGTTGTGTACATACACAAATGAGTAGAGACTCTTCTCAAGAATACAATTAATGGCCACATAGGAAATATGAGATAACAAGCTGAAAGGCAGCTTTGGCAAAGGAATGTTATCTCTCAGAAAGCCCTGAGAGTCCTTTGAGGAATTCCAGGAGTCCAGACAGGGGAGTTTTCATGGTTCAACACTGTCAAAGGCGTCTGTCCCAGGGCATTTCCTGGCTCCACTGATGCCTCTGGCCCCCCTTTGGGCATTCTTGTGTCCCACTTTCCCATGCCGACCCAATGAGGTCCTGCTCACTCTGTGTCATGACAGGACCTGGAAGGAATCATCCCAGTCCCCTGGTGGCAAAGCCCTCCTTGCCACAGCACAGGTTTCCAGGATGTGAAATGAGGTCTTGCAGCCGTGGCTATTCCCATCTCTACAAACTGATAAAGAACATTTTCTTCCCTGACTGGCATAGCCAGGGAATGATTTCTGGTATAAAAATGAGGCACTGGATGAAGTTCACAAGTTAAAAATCGAATACAGACAGGAAGAAGTGCTGTGCCTTGCACAAACCAACCCCCACATGGGCTTTGCAGCTCCTCCTGCTGCAGGCCACCCTGGCTGCTAAAAGATCACAGGAGCTTCCAAGAGCGGCAGGATTTTCCTGACATTATTTTTTCCCTATAACAAACTGCTGCTCACAGCCGTTCTAGATCACCCTGGGACACAAGGACTCAGAGAGGGTGGCTGTGGGGTCGGATCCCCCCCGTGCCTGCTTTCGGGCTCTGCGGGAGCGGTGCAGCTCAGCCCTTGGCCGGGAGATGGAGGTGCAGCATCACCCCCTGCCCGGGCTCTGCCGTGCAGGGCCGGGCAGGAGCGGGAACAGCACCTGCGGTGTTCCACAAGTCTCCGTCTCAGCAGCATTTTCGGCACCCGGGTTCGTTCCCTGCGTGCCCCACTGTACAGCCGTCGCTGCTCTGGGCTCACGCTGCTCTGTCCTCAGCTGTTTGAACAGGTGACTCCACATCCCACACAGCCTCTCTGCTTTAGCTCTTTCCAACAGACAGGATACCAATCTGCAGCAGAAGATTTTTTGCTTCTTTCAATAGTTTCTCAAACTCATTTTTATTGCTCTTCTGTCACTTGGGCTGTCAAAGCCATTCTTTGCTTTCCATATGCCAACACAAACTTGTGTTTTGTTTTTGCTCATGGCTAAATGCATGTACCACATAACACTCATTACTAGACCTTTGATTTCAAGTGGCATTTTCTTTGATAAGGTACCAACAACCTGCCTTTATTGCAGCAACCTCTTTTAGCTTGCTCCCAACACACTTAAAATAATTTCCATTCCTTGATTCTCATCTTTGTTTTGATCCAAACCAGTGTACTCACTAATTTGGGCACTCATGTCTGTTATCTCTTATTTCTTATTCATCCTTCCAGCAGCAGACCTTGTCTCTTTCTCCTGGATTCACTTTTTAATTACACACCCGAGGACTTGCTCTTCCCTGCTTCGGTGTGCCCAGCAAGGCTGCACATCACTCATCTCCTGGCAATGTCACTGCATTGCTGCGTGTGTCACCTGGGGTTCCCTTGCTGATGCACTGTGCTTCCCACTCCTTACACACTCCCTTTCTGCTTAATTAGAGTTTCTTTCTTGAGGTGAGTCCTCATCAAGCTAGATCTGAAAATCCCTCTTCAAAGCTCTTTCCTCTTGCTTGGGCCATGGATACCTGTGAGTATAAGCACCTTTCTTTGAAAGAAATGCCAGGCTTCCTTTAGCTTCAAACCCATGTAACTTTATCTGTCCATTGCCAAACACTTCTGTACTTCAGTTTTATTTCTCCTGAAGCCATGCGTGGAAGCTTTTGCACTCTTGTAAACTTTCGCCTCTCATTTTTCAGTTTCAGCTGCTGTGTCAGCTTCAACCCCAGATCTTGAGTTTCTCCCTACAGCAAACACTGGGCTCCTTCCTCTCTGTGCCCATGGCACGACACAACCATACCATGGCCATCTGTCATTTTCAGCAGGGGAATTCAATCTCCTCTAAGGCAACTCAGCCACATAACTCTCTTTCAGGCTGACAATACCAGTCTGGTTCTAGTCTATATTTCCTGTTCAAGATCCTGTTTAGCTCTAGCTCCTATTGGCCTTTGGGTTCTTCTCACCTGCTGAAACAGTAAATATCTTAAGCACTCAAATAAACACCCTATTTCTTCTGTTACCCAGAATAAACCTAAATAGCTATATACTTAATTGCATTTAGGATTTTAGATTATTGCTTTGCCTAGATACCTCAGTCTAGTTTTTTTCTTTTATTTAGAAGAAATATAATGTTAGTAAGTGAAAACATAGGAGTTGAAGAGTCTAAACTGATGTGCCTGCATTTGTTTAAGATAAGAGCTGTGAGCTTGGCTTCCATATTTAGAGAGTGCTGCAAAAATGTGCTTGATCTGTACCAAGAGACAGCATTTTTAAATTTATCCTGATATATTTATCAGAATAAATTAAAGAATCATGGAATCACAGAATATCCTGAGTGGGAAGGGACCCACTGGGATCATGCAATCCAACCCCTGCCCTGCACAGACACCCCAACAGCCCCACCCTGGGCATCCCTGGCAGCTCCTGCAGCTCTGGCAGCCTCAGTGCCCATTCCCTGGGGAGCCTGGGCAGTGCCAGCACCTCTGGGGAAGAGCCTTTCCCTGGTATCCAGCCTAAACCCCCTGACACAGCTCTGTGTGGTTCTTATTGTATCAATGAATAAACCTGTGAGAGCAGAGGGACTGACACTGTTTCTGCATAGTTGGGTCCTTTTCTTCATTGCTCATCTCGTTGCAGAGCTGCCAGGCTGGAGTGACCCAATGGACAGCAGGGAGCTGTGGATTGCTACAGACCAAAGCTGGGATGTGTAGAAGGTCACACAGTTAGGGATCACCAACTTCACTTTAAAAACAAATGCAAGAAAACTGTATTCTGATAAAAGGACAGGATGGAAATCAGTGACACTTGGGTAAGGAATTAGAATCAATGGAGAACATCTGCACAAATAAAGCTTTGTTTAGAAAAGTGCACAGTGCCTGTACTGGGAACTTTCTGAGCAGAGTGCTGATGGTAAATAAGCCACGTTGAGGGGGTGCTGAGAGACTAAGAAGGCAGAAAACAGAGGAAAACAGAGGGATAAAGGAAGATCCTGCCAGGTTGAACAGGGACCACAACAAGGAGAGTTGCTAAAACTGCATTTTAGACACTATAAATGACTACTTGTTGGTAAAACTAACCAGAAAGTTAACAAAAGGAGAAACAACATTACCAGTTCAGAGAGTTCCTTTGGGAAGTTCACTCAGCAAAAAATAACCATGACCTAGCCATATCAAATATTCTTTCAGGACCAAAATAATCCACAACAGTAATGCTTAACTTCAAAGAGAAAGTGAGGAATGCTATTAAAAAGAAATTTAAAAGAGCAATCAAAAAGGTTAAATGCTTGAGGTAGCAAGAAGATTGTTTAAAGATGCTATGTTAGAGTCTCAGAGAAAACGTACCTATCAAAATAAAGACATTTTAAATCATCTAAAAATCTCACCATAGTTAAAAGGTGCATTAAATGAAAATATTAAAGCAGAAAGCCTTCATAAACTGAAGTCAGCGATTTTCCAATTATAAACCAGAGAATAACCTATCATTTAATATTGAACATAATAGCAGAGGAATGGAAAGTTTTAAGTGTGAACCTTTTAAAGAGCTCCTGGAAAACTACAAACCAGCCAGCCCTATTTCCATACTGAACAAACTGGTAGAAGCAAATAGAGAGTAAAATGATTAGATGCATAAATAACTATAATCATAATGCTGAAGACTCAGCATGTTTTTGTGGAAGGAAGCCATGCCTCAAAAGCCTCTTGCAGATCTTTGAGGGAGACAGCAAGCACACAGATGTGCTTGATGTATCAAACTTGAACTTTCAAAGAGATTTTGACATGGTCACTCAGCAAAGACAATCTTTGTTGTTGGAAAAAATAAGTGATCAAGAAATACATACAAAGGAAGGTCTTCCCAACAAATAGCAGCTGATTAAAAATACAAACACTAGCAGTGGGTTCCATTTACCCACTGAAAACCCACAAGTTTTGTACTGGGATCAATGCTGTTCAACATGTTGAGAAAAGTACTAAAAAACAGTAGAAACTGTCCATGTCAGACCTCATGACAAAATTATTGTGAATCAGAAGAAAACTGTATAAACAGAAGCTGCAAGAGGATTTTATGGTAAGGGGAGGAATATGTGACAAAATTGTGGACAATTAAATGTCAATAGATTCAAACTCTGGATACAAGAAATTACTGAAAAGCCAAGGATATTTCACCTGGAGAAGAGATGATTCACATGAGGGATTATAATAGAGGAGGACAAAATCATGGATGCAGCCAAAAAAGTAAATTGGAAACACTGATTTTCTGTGCCCAGGTTGTGGGAATTTGGGGACATCAAATATAATTTTCTGGCAGCAGGTCTGCTGTAAACACCACAGACCAGTTCTTCACACAAAACATAAATTAAACTGCATAACCCATTGCCAGAGGGTATCATGGAGGCCAGACACAGTGGGAAAGAGTGTCCTACAGCAAACTGAACATAGAGAAGCACATACAACATAAAACCCCAAAGTTCCGAAAGCTCTGATCCTTGCACACAGCATTGCTGAACTGCAAAACCTGCTGCTGGGTAAGAACACTCTTAGCCTTGTCCCTGCATCATCCTGACACCCCTGGTTCCACTCTGGATCTTTGGCTTTACTCAGTAACTATTCTCATCCTTTGCATCTGGCTTTCCCATCTGCAGGGACAGTAATCTAAATATCTCCTATACAGGTTGCACTATACCAGAAGCAGACACCCTGATTTTCTGCTGTGAAAGTGTTTCTGACAAGTGAACAAACTCCTCAAGAAGAGACTGTCTCTGTTAGTCCGGAACATCCTGTGCTTACTGGCACAGCACAGAATCAGATGTAAAACCCTATTCAGCTGAAATGCTATCTTCCAGAATTCCAGAAGTTTCAGCTCTGCAGAGCTCTGTAGAAAGGGAGCACATGAGAGTCCCCAGTCTCTGCCCTTCACAGCACAGGGAGGAACTGACCCAGAGAGCTGCACCTGCATTTTAAGCAATACCCTGACTCTGGGCCACAGGGAAATCAGATGTTCCTCCAGCTGTGCAGTTCAATCCAGCTGACACATGCTCAGCTTTAGTCATCCAAAAATGAGTGATCCTGATGAGTTATGTAATCCCTGCCCCTGGAGCCAATGGAGGTGGATAGAGGGATTTAAAAGATGAGTATATGTGACATGGGTTAGTTGTGGGCTCAGCAGTGCTGAGGGAACAATTGGACTCAAGGCTCCTTAAGGGCTTTTCCACCTGTGATTCACTCCATTGTTTTTCAGTGTCTTAGGATGGTAAAAATGCCACCAGACAATGCTCTCCATGTTGTTTAGAGATTTGACACAACCAGTTTCAACTATACACTCCCATTTTTCATTCATTTTGCCTGAGTTTGATGAGGTGAGACCTCCACTCTTGGAGATGATGAAGTCAACACCAGAGAAGAAGGTGCAGCTTGAAGCTTGAAGCTACAGCACTGATGAGGACACTGGTAGCCTGAGGGTCCAGCATGTGCTCACAGAGAGATGGAAACTGAGAGAAAGGGAGAGGGAGAGCAGCGTTCAAGGAGATCTGGTAGAAGAAGAATAAAAGTGTTGACAGGACAACAAATTCACAGAGCAGGCTTGTCCTGAGGAGCTGCACTGTTTGTGAAGGATCATATAATGTTCAACAGTGTGAAAATACTGTGGGGAGGATCTGCAGGTGGAAAAGTAACTAAATAGAGTCTAGTAATAAAAATATAGGACAAGAACAGCAGTCCTGACCCTCTGATCAGAACTGTGGAGAACAATGTTAACTGAGATCACAGAAGCTGCAAAATTAGGATGGGCAGCAACAGGGGGAGATTTCATCCATTCACACACATACAGGTTAATGCTTCACTGGGATGAACCATGGAGAAAAACTTTTTGGAAGCAATAAATGATTACATGCCAGAATTAACTAGTCTAAATTGTTTGACCCACAAGAAAATATGTGATTCAGGATGTGGTCTGGAATGGGGCATAAGACTTGGTTCCAGAGGCAGAAGTGGAAGAACCCGTTTGTAAGAATGATCACAGCACCGTTTTAACTCTTTAGTGGAGAGCAAGCTAAATAAATGCAGCATGTGGAGGTTCAATTTCAAGAAAGGTAACTATGTAAAAATGTAGCAATCTGTACATCTCTGAAAAAGAGCTGAAAGGGAACAGACCAAAAAGCCTCAGGATGACTGGGGCTGTAGGTTGTTCACAAATGCTCTACTGGCAGTCAAGGAATCATGGGCTCATTTGAGGCCTGGATGTCGCAAGAGTGATGGCAAAGCCACAGCTGAGAACCTCAATGAACTTCCTGCATCCATCACTGGTGCTGGTGGCACTGAGATGTGCTTCACTCCTGTGTATCAGCGCCACCAGGAAAGCCAAGGGCTGAGAGGTTCCCCTCTGATCCCACCTACAGAGAGGGCTCTGAGTGCAGTCCTGAGGCCCACACACCCCTGGAGCTGCCCTCTACCCTGGGGCATGCAGAGCATGCTGAGAAGAACAAGATTCCTGCTAGCATGGAGAATCACAGCCTCTTGGAAAAGGACAACAGGGCAAAGGCAAGCCCAGCTCACCAACCTGCTGGAGTTTGGTGAGGGAGCCAATGAGCACATGGATGCCCTCAGGCATGGAGGGGTACAGTGAAATTCCCGGGCTTGCAGGTGATCCTCAGGTCCTTCAGGTGGTTGGATACCTCACTGAAGGTGAGCAAATCCGGAAGAACCTCACAGAAATCAGCAAGTGAACAAATATGTGGCAGATGAACTTCAGTAAAGAAAAATGTGGTGTATCCATTGGGGAAAATTATCTGTGTGATGCTGAACCTGGAACAGCTCAGGAAGTTGTCTGACATCATCAGCTCAGAGTGCCATGGCAACTAAAACATGCAGTGAGTGTTGGCCCCTGCCAGCAAGGGCCACAATCACAATCCAGGGTCTGGGCATCTTTGACCCCTCTGGAAGACCTCGGTGCAGCCTAACAGGGGGGGCACATGCAGTTCTTGTCTCTGCACCTCGAACAGGAGGTAGTGAGGTCACAGAGGGTGCAGAAAAACAGAATTAAAAAGGCTGAGGGATGCAGCAGCCACGTACTTCTGAGAGACTTCTGAAAAGTTTGAGGTCTTCACTTCAGGTAAGAAAAGGGCAGGGAGGGTGAATAAGATGGAAGTTTGGAAAACTGTGAAAGCCCTGACTGAGGTGAATGCAGGGCAGCTCTTGAACCATCATGCAGCACCAGAAGTTACATTATTCGGTATTTTGGTAAGGATATTTCCTCAGTGTCACCAGTCTCTGCCACAGTAGTTGCTGTATTTTCTTACCTGTATGTACCAGCAAGAACTTGGTCACAATCAACCAGGACAAACTTCTCCAGAACCTGGCCTGCAAATTTCTTGCCTGCTTTGCTGTAGTACGTGTCTCCGCTCAGGCACCTTATGCGCATGTTCTGAAACCAAAGCAGGGAGAGTTGGTAAAGGGCCATGTACTGAGCTAAACTGAGATGTTCCCTTGTGCATCACTGCTGGACTCCCTCAAGCTCATGCTCTGCTCTGAGAGGTAGAACTCAGCAAGGCATTAAGTATTTCTTGGCTCCTACATACCAAACATTTTGTCACACTGCCTGCTTCTATAGGAGAAAAAAACAGCAAAAATTAACAAGTTGCACTTGAATGCAAATTCTGGTTTGAAAAAAACTATGGACAATCCTATGAGCCTACAGATCATTTCTGATGTATGTAAAACTATCCAATTTCTTCCAGATTATTAATGATATTCAGCACCCCACTAGCTGGTGACTCTGCATTAAGTAAATTTTGATGCATAACAACTAGCTAGTTTCTAATCAATAGAGTGTGCTGCTCTGATTTTATACAATTACAGGCTTAAAACTAAAACATCACTCAATGAAAAAAGACTTAGAGGAATATCTACATTTTAAGGAATTCCTTTTACCAATACATTTTAAAATTATATTAACATTTTCAGCTGCTATACTCAATTGAAGCACACCTGATGCTCCACTGCAAATACTTCTCTGATACAACATTAACCTGTAAAACCAACTGCCCAAAATAAACTGGGTTATATGGCTCTTGGTATCCATTGGGAGCCTCTTTCATAATGCAAGGTGTTTGCCCGTAATAGAAGTTATTTGCACCTCAGGTGAGGAAGGCAGAAGAGCAGAACAGTCACTGGAAGTTGTTAGTGACCTGCTCTGTGTGATACAGTGCCAAACAAAACATCTGGCATGTAAATAAACATCCCCAAGGCTACACCTCGTTGGGGCTGCCAGGTCATCCCTTGCTGCCCTCCAGGCCAGCTCCCCTGGCACCTGTCACACCTCTGGTACAGCAGGAGCTGTCACAAGCTGTCACCACCTGCACTTGACCGGGCAGACCCCTCTGTGGGCAGCCCATTCCTGCCAAGCATCAGCCCAGCTACAGCCAAAGCCCTAGAGCAGCTGGTGGGGCCGATTTGCTCCTGGCAGAGCCGGGTGCTCAGGGAATGTGGGAATGTGGCACTGCCCCTCCACTTCCCAGCAGGTTTCTGGCCAGGCCAGGCAAGGGACAAGCACCAGCAGGGATTTGCCTGCAGGTGTTCCCCGCAGGGCACATCCCATGCCCCTTGCAGCCTCCCGGAGCTGTCCCTGGGCACCCCGGTGCCCCCTTCACCTTCCTCCCACGGGGCTCAGGGCAGGGACCCTGGGGTGAGGAGGGAGCAGGGACCCTGCAGCTTCCTCTGCTGTCAGAGTCCCCGCGGGCAGGAGCTGAGCTTCCCTCCGGGAGCACCGCCAGGTGGGAAAGGCTCAGATCCCACACTGCAGTGAGGGTCTGCGGCTGAGAAAGGCAAAAGCAGCAGCAGCAAATCTGCTCCTGCCCAGGGCCCATCCCGGCTCTCTCTTGCAGTGGGCAATGGCAGCTGGGGACAGCAGGGAGCAGGCAACCATTTATGATGCTGCCCCTAATATTGCCCCTGTTTTCTGCTCAGGGGATTTCCTGAGCTTCTTGTGGTTTGTCTCAGTGGGAAGCCCACCATTATCTCTTCTCCATGTGCTTTTCCACTCTTCTCTTGAGTTCATGGAAACCTCTAGCAAGTACAGAGCTGAAGCTTCAGAATTTTGACATTGTGGCTTTCACTTGTTGGCTTTTTATGTCCCAGAACATATCCTCATCTGCCACACATGAAAAGGGAGAAATCTTTTCCCCATAATGACAGTCTTTGGTACAAGCTACCCAGAGAGACTGTGCAGTCTCCTCACTTGGAGATCTGCCAGATGAGACCAGGTAAAGTGACCTCCTACTGTTTTGAGTGGGAGGCTGGGCTGATGACATCCTAAGGTCCCTGCCAACTTGCATGAACCTGTGATCCTCTGAAATGACACCACAAGTTGCTGATTCAGACCAAGATAACACTGGATACTTGGTGAGGTCTTCACCTTATCCTGTGGCCACTCAGCACAGGGATTTTTTTCTTCCAGTGGCAAAGTTTCAGTAATACTGGTTTTCATTGGGAGGAGCTTCCTCCCCCCCACCTCCTTCCTGGGGAAATTAAAACAGCTTCAGGTAAATTCCATAAATTTGCCACCACAGTATTTCTTCACCCCCTTTTATCCTTTCCAAGGCTGGGTGAGTTTTTGATATCTGGTTCATTTCCATCATAATCTTCCTCCTCTTGTCAATCCAGACCCTGAATAATCCCCACAAGATGAGAATCCTGATGTCTTGCAGGAAAGACACCCTGGTTCTGCTCTTGCTCCATCCAAACAGTAGCTCTAGGTTCAGCAGATGTTTGAAAACTCCAAGTTAAGGCTTCTGCTGTCTCTGCTGCCAGTGCTCCACACAGGATTTTCCGATGCTCAGCCCTGGAATTTGCCACCAGCAGACTCACATGTTGTTTTCAGAACTAAGATGCTGGAGGAGCAATTACCCCAAATTCCCCATTCAAACCCAAATTGTCACCAATTATTCCAAATGGAGATTTACTGCCACATCCTGTCACAACTTGGAGGCAGGAATAAAATATGTACCCTCATTCCACTCAGATGTGTATTCAGCCTGCAGGTAATGGACTGCACAGGTGCATCAGGTGAGAGACACTTCAGATGGAGAGCTGCTAGTGACTCATGGAATGGGGAGCAGGTGTTAATTACCCTTCAAGCACACGACATGACATCAGGCATAACAACACAGACATCTCCACAGATATAAACTCATTCTAATTATAATTTTAACAATGGCCACCTCTTGGACAAGAAGGAATAAAATGAGATTTTTTGAGAGATGGAATTCATCTGAATGCACCAGGTCACTTCAGTGTGGAAGCTCTTTATGAAAGCAAACATGCTCCAGCATGGAGGAAACTTCCCCAAGAGCTGCCATCTCAAGGGTCAGGATGAAATGGGTCTGGCTTGTAAGAAACAAGACAGGACAGAGCTTCACCAGCACAGTGGAAGAATCACAGAATCATTTAAATTGGAAAATACATCCAAGGTCATCAAGTCCAACCTTGTCAACTGGACCAGAGCACTGAGTGCCTCTCTAAAGAAGCCTCTGTAAATTAACCTTTGTGTAGACAGGTTAAAAATCAGGGAAAATTAGGACACCTTAACTGCATCTATTTAGAATATCCTGTAAAACATTGTTTTTGCATTGTTCCTAGCTTATTTTTAGCTAGGAATACCTTTGAGCTAACTGGAAAATTTCCAAGTGTTCCCCACAAAAATGAAGGGAAAACCCATGAAACTGGAGGCTGGAGTGGAGTCAGTGCTCCAGGGAATCTTGCACACCTAGGGAAGGAGCACAGCCAGCACTGCTGACCTTACAGGAATAACAAATGACCACAAAAAATCAACTTCCATTGAGAGGGGGTGGCCAGAAATGGGGATCTGCAGGGTACAGGGGTGCATCTCTGAGTCTGCAAGTTCCCAAGAGAGCTTATGGCACTGTCACATTCATTTTTACTGTTTATCTGCTCTGGGCACCACATGCTGGGTGATGAGCACCCACTCAGCAGGAATCAGGATTTTCATAAATCCAAATCATGGGCTCACAACTGAATTGCAAAGCCTAAAAGCAAATCTTAATGTGAGATTTTTAACCTGTGGGTTCAGCAGGAGGAAATGATGGGTTTTACAGCAGGACATCTGAGGGGACTCACTGCTTCCCTTGCCCTCCCAGCTATTGCCCTGCAGGAGCTCTGGGCAGAATTGAAATCCCTGAGGATTTAGGGATCTGAATATGAGCAATTTTAGTCTTGCAATTCTATGTCCTAGAGCAGGGGTTGTGTTCTTTCCCCCCACGTCCAGATGATACAGGTTCACATAAACTAAATTTCGAGGCCTCCCCCTGCATCTCTGCACCAGCCCAGCAAAGTGTTCAGCAACTCACTGCTTCTCATTGGCCCCAACTTCACACTCCCTGCATGGAAAACTGAAATGAGGACCATAAAACATCAATATATGGGACTAGGAGTCTCCTGCATGCCTTCCTCTGTGCTTCCAGTCAGATCTCAATTTCCTAGAGCAAACAGCCTTGGTTCCCTAGCCTGGGACAGGGAGGGAAGGGATAGATTCTAGGGAGAAGGGATGAGCCTAGGGACCAGGCAGGGGGAACAGAACACAGGGTACATCATTTTTATAAATTCCAAGACCTGTTTATCATATCCAGTGTGTGACTGAAAACTTACTGGGAAGCTGTCCTGAGTTAGAGCCATTTTATTGCACATTTCCACAAAATGCTTCAAGTACTCTTCATCCAGGATCAGGTAAACGGGGATGTGCCGTCTGCTTGAGGCCTCCAGCAGGTCACACAGAATTTCCATGTCTGTGAACAGATCCATCACAATTGCTATCACCTGGCCAGGAAAGAAGAGGTGTGGGGGGAAAGAAACACAAGAGATTGTTGAAATCTCATGCCCAAGTGAATTGTGCTTTAAACTATGTGCTATAAACTATTCAAACCTCCTGAGTTACTGAGATGCCGTGGGCACCTGAATGGAGATGATTCTGGACCTTTGTGTTTAAGGTCCAGAATTTAGTTTAATTTGTGGTTAGCTGCCGCAGCCCTTACCCTGCTGTGGCAGCTAAAATCAAATTTTAATAACTGTGAAGACAATTCCCACCTGGGTACCTCCTGTCTCATCTGCTATTCACAGAAAGGAATAGCTGAAAGGGTAATGCATGCACAAACTCTGAATTTCAGTGGTCCAACAGGCATGTGTTGCCTTAAGAAAATATGCCAAGAATAAAGCATATAAACAAGAGCTGAGACTGAGCAAAATCATTGTTCAATCAGCAAGAGTGACTCTACATGACTAATTAAGATTAATACAAAAAAGTACAATTTTTTTCAAGACAGACACACTACCAGGTGAGGGAGAAGGTATTGTGATAAAGTATGTGCAAATCCTCGTGTCAAGATTAGATCCTAGGGGTGCCTAGACAAAATCTGAGAATAATGTGTGTGGAAAGGATCCCTCCCCTTTCCCTGCTGGCAGAACTCCTGCTCATGCAGCCAGGGATGCAAGAGATGGGTATGAAACCTGACAGGAGGAAGAAGGAATAACGCTAAGATTATTAAAAGATAAAAATATATGTATCGCAATAAAGTGAAGATAAGGTCTTCAAGGAAGGGGTTTAAAATAGGAAAAGAATTTTAAAGGGAACTGCCAGTTCTTTAAAGAATGAGGTTGAAAAACACCATGGAAATCCATCCCACTGTGAAGATAGAGTGGGAGGCAGTGGAATGTCATGGCTACATGAATTCTACGAAAACTGAAATGAAAATGCACAAAACAGAAGGTAAATCATGACAAGCAGTTACTACAAGTGAGTTGACCCAAGACTAGACAATCCAAAGTATAGAATGACCTGCAACAAGAACAATGCATGAAGGGAAATCAGCCATAAATAGATTCAGATGGGATTGCAGACCCTGTTGCTCTGTTCCTCAGGGAATGAAGTTGCCAACAGACAACGCTGAGGGGACCCTTATTTGGATGAGGAAGTGACTGTTGGGATCCATCTGTTGGCTGTCACTGTCACGGTCAGGGGGATGCCTTGGAGAAGGAAGGAACTGACAGCAGAGCACTTGCTGAGCAGGATAATTTGTCATTGCACCTGAGGGTGCAGAGCACCTGGTGACTCAGACCTTGAAGCATCACCAGTTAACACTGAGAACTCATGGCAGATGGGAACACACTGCATGATGGAAAAGGGTAGGGGAGGATTTACCATCAGCCAAACTTCTTTTCAAAAGCTGAAAAAAACCAGTGAAACTACTGCCCAAATACTTTGGTCCAAGTCTTACCATATCATAGTGAATAAGGTAACTGGTGCTGGTAAGTTGGGTGTATAACCCTGATTTGTGTTTCTGCACCTGGCAGAGAATGCCCAAAGATGACTCAAAGCTCACTAAATTTGGGAGCGAAGCTCCAGTAACCTATTCTGTTTCTCAGTGCTCATGCCCTGCACCACACCTGGCACAGAAAACCCAGTCAGCCCTGCTGCCATCGTGCCCCCACGAGGAGGGAGCCTGTGCTCCAGCACCTCTGCTGCCTGTGTTACGTGCATGGCCACAAATGCAGCTCTCCATAGTCCAAATCACCCCATGGATCTCACCCCTGCAGGGTGAGCCTTCCTCTGCCACTGCTGCTCACCTGCTTCTCACCTTCAAACCAAGAGCTAAATGCAGCAGATGGCAGCGAGGTCAGATTTTACATGTGCAGAGGTTCAAGCTGTAAATAGGAACAGGGGAAATTGCAATCATGGCATGGGGCTGACCGGGAATAGCTTCAGAAAAGAGGAGAGGAGCTCCAAGTTTAACTGTCCTTGGATTTGTGCTCCAGACTGCCACACTGGCCCAGATTGCTCCCTGCCCAGTAGCTCCTCTGCTCTGTTTTCATTCATAAGCTGCCTCTTTCCAGGCTCACACTCATGGCCTCAGAACAGTCACAGGCAGAGCAGGGCCCCTGAGCTTCCCTGTGCTCTCCAGCCCAGTCTTCTGCTTGGGGGCTGGCTGCTCTCAGCCTGTCCCGGCCATGGAGAGACCTTTGCACGGAGCCACAGTGGAGAGGACAGCAATGTCAGAAGGCTGATTCCTGCTCCCTTGGGGATTGAGCCCTTTTGCAGATGGACAAAGATACCACGGCTCTGTTTTGTCCTCAAAACCCATCCCTGTGATGATGCCCAACACACTGTCATTGGTCCTCAGCATCTTGCAGGAGACCCCAGGCCCAGCTCACCACAGCAGGGTTTGGGGAAGAACCTTCCCAGAGGATGGTGTGATCCCAGACATCCATGTGGGACACAAGGCAGCTGTCAAGAGCTAAATATCATTCCTGCTGTCCAGGCCAAAACCACATCTCCACCCTCTCACCCTGGCCCTGGCAGATACAGGCTCTAGAACCTGACTCCAAAGGGCACCTCTTCTGTAGCCCTTGTCAGTGTTGTCTTCCCAGAAGCCTTCAAGGGTTTGGCAAACTTCTCCTCTCTTGAAACGTGCCCATCTCTCATAGAGAGCAGAGTCAGCCTGAAAGAGCTCTGCAAGCACCAAGAAGCATCTTCAGCTTCCCAAATTAATGTTGCTGCTGGTCTATCAGCACAAGGTACCACTGAGACCCACAGTATAAAAGGACTTTGCCACATCCCTCCACGCTGTCTTGCAGCCAAAGGCCAACTACAATTTAGCCAAATTTCTTTGATGGGTCACACATCCTCTGATGATGAAGCACCATGAAAAAACGATAGCCCAGACCTTGTGTAAAGCCTCAGGCAAGTCCCTCTCCGCCAGACTTCACCTCATGGTATTTGAGCTCATCTCAAGCTTAGGTTTGAGGCAGGTTTGTCTTGGGGAAGTCTGTCTGCTTGGGAAGTCAGTGTGATGGAGTCAAGGAAGACCCAGGCTCCTTTGTCCTCAGATCCCACATGCTGAGGGACAAGGGCTGTACACGGGGTGCACAGGAGATCCACACCACGTGCTTTCCTCTACCAGTGCTTGCAGGCTTTGGCAGGGCTGGTTGCCACAATTGAGGCTGATCCTTGCCCCAGACCAGTGCTGCTAGGGCCTCAGTGCTCCCCGTGAGAGGATGGGGCTGAGCAGGCAGCGCACACAGCACAGAGTCACCGTGGCAGCCGATGCCAGGCTGGATGCAGCGAGAGCCCCAGGCAGCAGGGCCAGCCTGTGCAAGCTGGGTGCAGCCCTGATAGTCACACTCAGCCTTTCCAAAGCGGGTCTTGGCTTGGTCTGGAGGTGGAGCAGGCTGCAGCTCTGCTCACACCTTCCTTCCCAGTGCTCCCAGTGTGCAGCACAGCCGGTGCTGGCAGGAAGGACAGACCCCATGTGTGCTGCACTGGGCACAGAGGGCAGGCTGTGCCCTCCCTGCAGGGGGAGATGCCCATGCGGGGCTGCTCTTTATAATTGTATCCATAAGGTATCCATAAGGGCTCTGAGATCAGCACACCCTTTTGGAAAGCAAAGCAGGCAGCTCTTACAAGAACATCAGATCAACCCCAAAGCCAAGAAATTTTGGGGGAAGAAGACCCTGGAAGTTTTTTCCCCTCAAACCCCCTAAAGCAGTGGGAGTTCAGTATCCAAGTACCATCTGCAATTCAGGTTCCAAACAGCTCATGTCTCACATTTAAAGCTTTGGGCATTCAAGTCAGTCAGACCATACAAACCTAAACCTGTGTCAGTGCCTCCAGCCCCTCTGTGTCAGTGGTGGGGGCTGCAAGGCTGGCTCGGGGCATCCCTGCTCCTCACCATGCCCACCCCAACCTCTGAGCCCATGGCTTGGCCTTGGCAGGTTAGGATGTTACAGACACAGCTGCCCCACAGGCTTTAAAAAAATTCACACCTTGCCATTGTAGGGTTAAACCATGACATTTCCAAACGCACTTCTGGAAACTCACAATTCAGCAATTACTGGAGTCATCACTTTAGGAATTACAGCACTTACCAGATCCCCACTGGGGTTTGCCATCTGTCTGGTTTGTAACCAGCACAGCTGGTTTTACTGGTATTTGCCAATAGCAGTGTGGTTTGGGTCATTACTGCCGTGGTGCCATTTGATCTCTTGCTTCCCTGGGGACCATCAGGGACCCTTCTCCCACCAGGCACAGAGTCCAAGTGCACAAGAGGAGTGAAAAAAGCAGCATGGACAGTTCAAACCAGATCGAAGCTTATCCAGCAAGAGCAAAATTTTAACAGTATTATCAAATAAAGGCAAAGGTGTGGCTGTGCTGCATCTTCTTATGTCTGCAAAGAGAAAAGCTCAAATCTGAACATCAGTCTTCAAAGAGAACTAGCTAAACGCAGCGAAGGCAAAAGACCAACCTCACCAGCCAAAGATACCCATGAAACAAACACTCCTTTTGCTAATTTGTCAGCACAAACATGCTGTTGCAAGAGATGTCAGCTGATGTTATTCTGTGTGACTCTACCGGGAAGAAGCAAACAGCATTTCAAGACACACACCTCCCTGGCTGCAGGACCTGGGAAAAGCAGCTGGGGATCTCAACATCTTTCCCACATCACACCAGCACTGTGGTCCCCCATGGGAGGAGAAACTCTCTAAAAGAGGAACCTATGACAACAGCTAAAAGTCTAGTGGCAAAAATACTGGAAATGTAGAAACAGCAGCTGCAAACCAAAAACCAGGTGGTTCTCCAAATGGTCCATAGTGGCACTTCAAGCAAAGGAAGTTTTTCCCTCTGGTAGTAGCTCTTTTGTCAATTAGACACATAAGTAACATCCTTTTGGATGGTTTGTTGAGCAAAATGACTCAGTACATGCTTTAATATGGATAACTGAGATTGTGAGTGAGCTGGAGTTGCCATCAATCATAGAGTTAATCATGGGAAGCACTGGCTAGAGCTGCTAACCCAAAAGCCAGTAGAAGACCAGTAATAAATCAGTAGGATACTTAAAAACTCATTATCACATTTTGCACAACAGTAGAAAACACTGTGGGAAACCTCCAACTCAGACATGGATGGCAGAAGATTGTCAGGGCTGTGTCAACCCAAGCAAAGAAAGCAACAAGCTCAGAATGTACTGAAAGTACAATAAAGCAGCCACTGCCCAGGCAACTTGCCCATAGAAACTGAGAAGTTCCTGTGAAGTGAGAAAGCAGCAAGATGTTTTTCCTGCGTCTTAAAGGATCATTATATCACTGAAGATCCGGGACACGTGCTGAGCGAGGGGAGGACACTTCTTGGTAGTCATTTACTCTGTGCATTCTACCATGACTGTGCCTTAATCCCCACTCCTGCCAAGGATGGGGTCAGTATCACAGAACTTTTCAGATCATTTAAGCTACCATAAATCAGCTGCCTGCAAGGACAAACAAAGCTTTTTGTCACTTATTTCCTGGACCAAAACTTCCTGTAATTGCCTATCAGATGCAGTGGAAGCTCAGGCATTAAGCAAGGGCTGCTTACAACTGAGCAGCAGTTCATGTGACAAAATGGTCTTTTGGGCAAAAGAAAAAAGATCCGCATTCACCTCATATCACACCCAAACTTCACTAATATGTGGCTCTTTGAGGATGTTTTAATGCTGTGCAGCAATCTGAGCTGCTGGGAATACATAAATTCATTTGCTCAGCTCAGCTGAGGGTTATAGAAGAACACACTTGAGCTGCAGTGATCCAGGTGATTCCTTATCTCCAGCTTTTACACAAGCAACAATGAATATAAGGAGTGACTGAAGTTAAATAGGAAACTACTGGAGTGATAAGAGAAACTGCCAGAAGTGGACAGGTTAAAGTGAACTTTGCTCTAAATGTTTCTTCAATAACTCAACACAAATACTACAAAAGAAGATTGGTATGAAACAGCTGAAAAGAACCATGAAGAGAACAAAAAGCTGAAAATGTGTCTGAGGTAGTTGTCTGAGTTGCTGCTTTCACACAGAGTACAGTGGCAAAGCGAAAGAAACAACAAGCAGCATAATTGAGTGAATAAATTCATGCCAGCATTGTGCTTGGTAGGCAGGCACTGTAATCATCCAGTTTTTATTACATCCGAGGGTTGTAATAACACACCAGAAACTGTGCAATGGGGCAAAATGGGCTGATCTTACTCATCCCTGGGGAGGCACAGACATCAAACCTAGGAGACAGGATTCTAGCTTAATTCAAACCACTGGCAGGGATTTTCAGTCCCACAAATTTACTCAGGTCATATGTGGTGAGGTCCTGGCCTAGGTTACCCAGAGAAGCTGTGGCTGCTCCATCCCTGGTAATGTCCAAGGCCAGGGTGGACAGGGCTTGGAGCAACCTGGGATAGTGGAAGGTGTCCCTGCCCATGGCAGGGCACAGAATGAGATGGTCCTTAAGGTTCCTTCCAACACAAGCAAAAAATTCTGAGATTTTTCTCTGTGACAGCAGCTCACCAGTGGTATTGTCTTGTCCAGCTTAAAATGATGTCCAGGGCTGGAGAAGAGCCCTGGCTGTGTAGAGGGAGGAGAGCTGGAAGGACACACAGATCCAGGGACACTGAGCTGGCTGGGACACACAGAGCCAGGGACACTGCAGAGCCAGGGACACTGCAGAGCCAGGGACACAGAGCTGGCTGGGACACACAGAGCCAGGGACACTGAGCTGGCTGGGACACACAGAGCCAGGGACACTGCAGGCCCTGCCTGCACCCCACTGGGCTCTGGGACTGCTGTGCATCCCTGCAGCTGTGGACACAGAGAGCCTGCGAGGGCACTGCCTGCATGATGTGAAATCCCAGGCAGAAAGAAATGACAAGGAAGGAAAGGAGCAGGAGCAGCTACAGGTCTGCTGCAGGAAAAGCCATCCCATCACGCCAGACATGGAGAGAGCAGCGACAGCGTGGAGCGTGTGGTCACAGGTGTGGGAGCAGCCCCGGGCGCTGTGGCACAGGGCTCCCCTCAGGGACACAGCTCTGTACGTACCGTCCGCGCCCGGCTGATCAGAGACCGGACCAGATCCTTAATGCTGTTTGTTTTGTTTCTTTGGAAAATCACAGTGGCCTGAGTCTGGCCAGACAGCGTGAGGAGAGGCGTCCCTGGCCAGCCCAGCTCCAGCTCCGGAGGGAGCACGTCTGACATGAGGGGGAAGTAGGTGCCCGATGTCAGTTCAGAGTTGAGGGAGACCCTGTCTCCAGTGTCCGCATCACCGGGGTCAGCTTCTTTGTCTTTCATTGCACTGGGGTCTGGGAAGCTTTGGTTCCTCTGATGGCTGATGTATTCCATGTCCAAGGCGGACAGAAATGGCAGCTCCCTCTCCTCGGCGATGGCGCTCAGGTAGCCGCGCTCGCCCTGCTCGAGGAAGGCGTCGATGGCCAGCCTGGCTGTCTCGCTGTGCTGGAGCACCAGCGGGGTGGGCTCCCTCCACCACGGCTTCTTCAGCTGCTCCAGGCGGCTCTTGAGTGGCCCAGACACCCCTTGCTGGCTCCCATAGCTGCGGGGGAGCTGGGGCCTCACCTCGACTGCCAGGTAGTTGAACATGACTGGAGCTGCTGATGCCGAGAGGTGTCTCTCCTGCTGGATTAGTCCTGTGTCCGTCTTCACGTCTTTTCTGCCCCTCCTGCGCTCCTGAGCTCCTCCCAACAGGTTCCTCCAGGATTCAGCATAAACTCAACTCCTTAATCACCAGGTGCAGCCTCCCACTCCGGGGAGGAGCCGCCTTTCCCAGCTCCCTCACCCGGCTTCCCCAGACACACACACCTGGTACTCGGGGCTCAGAGCGTCCCTTTTGCAAGAGGAAGAAAATCAACTCTTCAAGCTGCTCCTTCCTTTTCCTTGTAACTGATTAATCTGCTGTCCTCCCCTTCCCTTCCCGTCCCTAGAGAGGTCCCCACCCTTGGCCTAGCAGGCTCTAACCTGTTTTGTCCCTCACTGTGCTCACAGTGGAAATGCAGATGCTGGAACTTGTTCCTGCTTGAAATTTATTCCAAATCAAACACGCTGCTTAGTGTCAGTTATAATGAAACACAAATATCCCAAGTGGGTAATCAGACTCAGCAGAAAAACTTACTCATCCCTGAGCCACAGATAATGCTCGTCCTTAGCATTTCTTGGGAGCTTGGCTCTGCTACACCAGAACAGTCTATTTCTTGACACACAGAGTCATGGTGTTTGTAGGAATCCCAGCAGGAATCTTGGTCATTAGATGCTGCAGGCGAGAGGAGCAATATTTCACATGCTCATTTAGCATCTCCCTGGAAATCCTTCAAGGACATTCAGCCTTAGGAGTCTGGTGCTGTGTGAATGATGATACTGCCCACATACTGCTTATTGGGGATTAGTTAATTCCAGCTTCCCAAATGCATCATGGAGTTATTTTTGGAGGAACAGTACAGGCAGACATTGCTATGTGAATTAAGGCACCGTTTAGGAGCACACCAGGAGAACACAACGTGTGAAGAACTGCAGAGGAGCAGAGATCAGCTCACCTTGGAGCTACTCAACTCCACACAGGCAACCAGGGAATGAAAAACTGGCTGGAGAGTTGATGTAATCAATTAGCCTTTTATGTCCAAAATCCCCTGGAATTAAATTAAATTAAGTAATGTAAAAGCTAAATGTGTGCCCTGGAATAATCATGGGCATGGAATAATAGTCAATGGAGTAGGGACAGCCATGCCTGAGTGTGAACCAGCACATCCAGACACCAGGCTCTAAGACAGCTGGGATGAATCATGTCCCCAAGGGACTATCACTCTCCATGGACTACAGCTCAGTGGGATGGTTAGTTTGGATTAGCTGTCTGGTCTCTGGATGCCTGAATTCAGGATGAAGCCTCAGCAGGACTGCAAATGGCAAGAACACTGCATTGATTGAATCAGAAAACAGAAGTTGGCTGCCAGTTGGCTGTGAGCAAGGGCAAAGTAGGGATGGAACAAAACAATGACAAAGCTGCTGGCACAAAAGTGTTCGGAGTGAATGTAAATGTTAAAAAAGCTTAAAGACTAACTTAAAATGTGGAGTGAACAGCCAACTCAGTGTAAGGAAGTTTGGGGGAGTAACAAAGGGAAGGAGCTGTAACATGGTGAGTGTTTTTCTGGAGCTGCTTTGCCAGGGTGATAACAGAAGTGTACCATCACCCTACTTTTTGCCTTCCTAAAGAGCTTAAAAGAGTGTGAATTTTAAAAGAACTAATCAAATGCATATTTTCTGCTGCTGATTCGGTAAAGGAGATTTGTAAAGGGATTTGCACTGTTTGGTAATGATCTTCTCTCCCTCCAGTAATTTCTCATGTCCTCAGCACATGAAAGCACACGCGATGTAAACATCTCCAGCCCAGCTTGTCAGGCTGGGCTCCTCCAGGGTTGGTGGGGAGAGGCAGAGACTTCCAGGAGTCAGTTACCTCACCCTGCAGCAGACACCTGGAACAGGCTGGATGAAATGTGCCTGGGAAGCTCTTATCTCCCCCCACTGACGGCAGGAGCTCAGGCTGCCCGAGTCAGTGACAGAGGTTTGCCATGCAGACATCTAAAATTAGATGTGTCCTGTCCCTGCTGTCTGGCAAAAGGGCTCTAATTGGCACTCCAGAGGCTGATTGGCCAACACAGGATGTGGGAATCTCATCAGCCCATTTTTGCCAGCACAAACCTGGGATCTTATCTGGAAGTCTTGTCTACACACCTTCTGCAATCAACAGAGAAGGACAAGGGGAAAATTCTCTCTGGCTGAACGCACGCCCCAAGTGCCACTGCCAAGTCCATGTCCCTGGGCAGCTCTGCTCTGGCTGATAACTGAGCTCAGCCAAGCATTAGGCAATACTTCATTCTTCCATCCCACAGATGTTCTTGGAGCTCAGCAAACACAAACACCTTGCCTGGGCTCTCCACAGAATGTACCTGCTGCTTCCTCTTCACGCACACATGGAGGCAGCCTGCCAGCCTGTTTCCTGACAGATCTTGGAGAGCACTCACCCGGCAACACAAGAAGCCAGATTTGCTTTTTTCCCCCCTCTATTTCAGACTGAAACCCAATCTTCCATCTCAAAACATCAGGGTGCTCCTCGGTGCTGTACCAGCATTTCTGGAAGGCACTGCACAGCAGTGCTCCACTGCAGAATTCACTGGCCAGATGCACTCAGCCAGCACAGCTGGATGAGAGAAGTCCCAGTTTTAGTTCCTGCACTGAGCTCTGTCAGCACTGAACCCACAGAGCAAAGTCAAATCTCCCCAGTTTTTGTCCAACATTCCCAACCATGGTGTTACACAATCAAAGCACAGTGGCAGCACATGAATTCCATGTTTCATCTTTACCATTCATTTGCTGAGACCCTCTCAAGTCAGGGGAAGGTCTCTGTGTCACACCTGCGCAGCTGAAGGGGGGCACTGGACACCAGCTGCCAGGCACAGGCCAAATGATCCATCACAAAGGATGTCAGGGGAGGCAGGGACCCCCCAGCCCTGCTGCCCCTGCCCAGGGGTGTGCCCAGCACAGAGGTTCTGTCCCGTTGCAGCCCCAAGGTCTCCACACCCCTGTGCCATGCAGGGAAGCCAACGTGAGTCCATGGAGCTGCTGTGGTGCAGCCCTGAGCTGCCCAGGGGCTGATGCACAGCTGCCAGGAGAGGGACACACAGCTGCTGCCTTCAGCTGCTGCCCTGTCCTGAACATGGGAAAAGCACTTCCAGACACCCCTTCTGTGTCTCCTTCCAAAGGGAATCCACAGAGACAGAACTGGGTGTTGTAACACCACTGGCTCTGGCTACCAGCAGGAAGAGGGTGCACAGGGAAGGATGTGGGACATTGAGTAAATCTGCCTAAGATGCCTGGTTTTGACAGGATGTGGAGCAGCCCAGGAGCTGGCAGGTGGGATGAGGCACGAAGGATCCCAGCTCACTGTGATGCATTCATTAATGAAGGCTCTGAGTGTGCAGAATTCCTCAGTTCTACACTGAGCACGAGGGAGCTCTCACCTCTGGAGGAGCTGCAGCAGCTCCCAGCAGGATCCAGGCTCAGCAGCTTGAGCAGGGCCCTCCCAGGTGAACACACCTGCACCAGACAGCAACAGCAGGACAGAGGATGTTGATGGTTACAGATGCTGCTCTTTACATGACAGGTTAAACTGAGGAAGTTTGCCTTGGGAAAAAAATAACAAAATGCCTTTTTTTTAATACACAGAAAGCTCCCTGAAAGATTAAAAAAATTGAAGGCAGTATTTGGGAGTGTTTCCACTAATCTGCTCCAGGTCCCTCTGACAGTTCTATTGCCACTTGACCTGAACTCCCTGGCTGCTCCCAGCAAATCACATCGGAGCAGCCACTGAGATGTAACAGCAGAAGGTGGAATCACTCCCATGTGAGCAGAAGGTGGAATCACTCCCATGTGAGCTCTGCATTCCCAGGGGAAGGATGAGGCTCAGCCATCTCTTCTGTGCCACAAATGAGCAGAGCAAGCTGCCCAGCAGGTTGAATGACTGTAAGCAAAACAAGCACTCCCTCAACATGTTCAGCAACTTCAGGAAGAACACACGTAGGATGCACAGGGCAGCCCTGAGCGCCTGAAGAAGGGGCAGTGGTCAAAAAACCCTCACCACAGGAGTCTGGGAAGAATCACAGGATTGTTAACACCCAACTGCCCCCTCAGGGTGCAGGAGGCCGGGCAGCCCAAGGCACCCACAGGTGACAGTCCCTCTGCAGGCAGAGGAGGGGTGGGCACTGTGTAAGCAGCAGAGCCCACTGGTCACCCCTGCTGAGCCTCAGGGTCTCTCCTATGTCCTTGCCAGCTTTCCCAGGCTCTCACATAAGCTGCTGCCCTCTGCTTGCCTTCCCAGACCTTCAGGAGAGCATGCTGAGGGCCAGGCTGTGCAGACACAACGTGCCCAAAGATGCTGATCCTGTTCCAGTGGCACAGGGACATTGTCACCCAGAGAGCTGGGACAGGTGTGCCCCCAGCCTGGGAGAGCTGGACACAGTGCAGGTCAGTGGGAAGGACAGGACATGGGTTCCTCACAGCTTCTTGCAGAGAAAAGAGCAAAGAAGCCTTGATTGGAGTTCATTAACCAGGGAGACAACAGAGATCAGACAAAGCAGGGCAGATGTGAAGAGGCAGATGGGGAGGGAAGGAACCCTTACAGAGAAGTTTCCACCTGGAACCCTGGACAATGCTCTCAGGCACAGGGTGGGATTCCTGGGGTCCTGTGCACAGGCAGGAGCTGGACTCAGTGATCCTGGTGGGTCCCTTCCAGGTCAGGGTGTTACATGATTCTATGATTCTAAATTAGTTGCCACCAGCATCAGCCAAGAAAAATGCTCGTGCACAAGGCACCAAACCCCACACTGGGGCCTGAAATAAACACTGCATTTGTGGCACAGCTCTCTTAGCAGAAGAATTAGGAAGACACAGCAATTCTAGGTATGGATTAACTTAAACACTTAAAATTCCTTACAGTGGGACTTTTCTCTTCCTGGAAGGAAGCACCCGGTGCAGCTTGGAGCTCCATGCTTCATTCAGCACCCCTGGAGAAGGGATCAGCAAACCTCTCCAAATGC